AAAAAAAAAAAAAAAAAAAATCTTTGGTTGGCTGCGCACAGCAGGGAACATTAAGGCAGAGCTCAAGTTGTTTCAGCCAAGATCATACTCATAAATGGGCTTCCTGGGATTAGGACTCTAACATCTTCCCAACTAATAATCTTATGCCTATAAACCAGCAACATATCAATAAACTGGGGATATCACTATCAACTTTGTAGAGTTTTTAAGGATTCAATAAGACAATGCATATACAAAGTGTGTAGCATGGCTAGTCGCAGTAGCTCACACTTGTAATCACAGTACTTTGGGAGGCCAAGGTGGGAGGATTGCTTGAGGCCGCGAGTTCAAGACTAGCCTGGGCAACATAGGGTAACCCCATCTCTATAAAAATAATACTAATGTGCCAGGTGCTGTGACTCACGCCTGTAATCCCAGCTCTTAGGGAGGCAGAGGCGGGAGAATAGCTTGAGCCCAGGAGTTCGAGACCTGCCTGGGCAATATAGCGAGACCCCGTTCTCCACAAAAAGGGAAAAAAAAGAAAAAGTACAAATAATAATAATGTGTGTAGCACAGTGGGCATGAAGTCTGGTACACAGTAACTATCTGGTTTCACAGTAAGTGCCAGAAGTGCAGTCCAGACCTCACCCTTCACCTGCCTAAACCTTCTTCAAAGACATTCCCCAGACCTTGTAACATTAACTCACTGCCCTGGACTGCATGCTTTTTATCTCATATCCCTGGTTCCCCCTGGACAGTGCTGAAGAAGGAAGCCTCTTCACCTCTCTCTCCTAAACTTTCACCCCATGTGGCTATGTGCTTTCTCCACCCTAAACACCCACTGCTCTTCTCCTTTCCCAAGTTTTCTGTCATGCCCCCAGCAAACCCATCCCTTGGTAAACAAACTGCTCAGCAATGGCACCCCCTTCAACAAATACTCCTTCACCTTCCAGGCTTAACTGAAGGCAGCTTCTCCTATGGGAAAATCATTTTCTCTATACCAGTGCCACTCAAAGTATGGTCCACAGATAATGCTGGTCTGTGAACTGTTTACTACAGGTCTGCAATAAGTACAGAAAGTAAGAGTAAGCAGCACTATTATGCAGAAGTTTTTATAGCAATTTGACAGAATGATTTTATGTCTGTTCAATCTAATAATAAAATTTGGGGCTTGTCTTTTATATGTTTTTTTGCTCATGCCATTTTTCTAGTCATTCTTGTTTTATATTATAAAAGGATTGGCCCATTATCGATTGGAAATTTTAAAAGTGCCTTGGTTTTTTGCCACAGAAAGTCTAAGCAGCACTGTGCTACAGCCCTATATAGCTGCACATTCTCCCAGACCCTCAGGGCTGGGTTGTGGGCAGACATCCCCCTCACTCGCTGCTGGTGAAACTTCCAGATCATCTCTTCTCTACCCTTGTATAAGAGCTCCCACTCCTCTGAGTTTCATACCATCCAGCCATACCACTTCCTACTCCTCTTCATCACTGCCACACACCCATCTCCCCAACATACCCCCCGCCACTCGCTGAAGAAACTGGTCAGATTCTCCTCCACCCCAAGTCCTGCTAACATCCTACATAAAATCAGTATCCATGTGGAGATACAACATTCCAGGCACTTGGTTCTCTGATCTTGTCATCTTCAGAGACTGTTACCTCTACTCCCATTTCAACTACCAACTCTCATGACCATCCCCCAGACCTTGTCAACACGAGCAATTGCTGTATCTCTAGAATATGAAACTCATACATTGCCCTCTGTGACCACAAGTCTATCCAGCTCTCATTCACTGCAACCTGTTATTTGCCCTCAAAACTCTTTATCTTCATACTTTTCACCTATTCACACATTCTTGACTTTATTTACCCTCCTTCCCTATCTAGTTGAGATTCCAGTATTCCTCACTTGAATCATTCTCTTACAGATATCCTCACTTGCCCCACTGCCTTTCATGCCCACATGCAAACCCTAACCCTACCTTGGTCCAACTACCTAACTGTGGACCACTAGATGTAGCTAGAGAAAAATCACCCATTGGATTGGTACCATCATAAATTCACTGTCCAAAATACCTGGATTGGCCAGGCACGGTGATTTGCAACCTGTAATCCCAGCATTTTGGGAGGCCAAGGCAGGTGGATCACCTGAGGTCAGGAGTTCGAGAACAGCCCGGCCAACATGGTGAAATCTGATTTCTACTAAAACTACAAAAGTTAGTCAGCATGGTGGTGGGCACCTATAATTTCAGCTACTCAGGAGGCTGAGGCAGGAGAACGGCTTGAACACGGGAGGCAGAGGTTGCAGTGAGCTGAGATTGTGCTACTGCACTCCAGCCTGGGTGACAGAGCAAGACTTCATCTCCAAAAAAAAAAAAAAAAGTCTGCACCATGCTGCCTGACAATCCTTCTGTAATTCCTCACTCAACTCTCTCTTATCATCTACAGTGGCTATTTCAAAGGTCCCACCCCACTACCCACTTCTTCTACTACTTCTGGTTTTGTTTTGATTTTTTAGCATCCTTTGCTTTCATTCTTTGAGTTCCTTTATGTTTTTGTTTTGGTTTGGTTTATTTAGAGTCAGGGTCTCACTGGGTAACACAGGCTGGGGAGCACTCGTGCAATCATAGCTCACTGCAGCCTCAAACTCCTGGGCTCAAGTGATCCCCCTGCCCCAGCCTCCCAAGTAGCTAGGACTACAAGCACACACCACTATGCCCAGGGTGTGTGCGTGTGCGTGTGGTTTTGCTTTGTTGTCCCAAAATGGTCTCAAACTTCTGGCCTCAAGTGATCCTCCCACCTCAGTCTCCCAAAGTGCTGGGATTACAGGTGTGAGCCATCATGCCAGCCACTTCCTACTTCTTAGAGAAAATTAAATAATCAGAGGTAAACTACCTTAACTTCCCATCACCAAATCTACCTCCTTCTACACCCATCCTTTTTTTCTGTCACAACAAAAGTACTATCTCTCCTTCCTTCTAAAGCCAAGTTTTCCACCTGGATCACATCTTTTTTTATCTTCTCAATCAATTATTCCTTCTTTCTGCAGTATCTTCAATCTCTCTCTCTACTTTCTCTTCACAATAGCATTTAAACAAGTCTACTGATCTTTACAAATTAAAAAAACCAAGACCTACCCATCTTCCAACCACCCTTCTTCCTGTCTGCCCATTCACAGCCAAACATCTTCCTTCTTTAAACCTATGCCACTTAAAACAAAATAAACAAACCTAGGCAGCTTGATAATGACCCCTTTTTTGAATAGGTAACAGTCGTAAATGGTGCAAAACTCAAAGAGTACAGAAGTGTATACAGTGAAGAGTCTCCCTCCCACCCCTAGCTGCCCAGTAGTATCCAGAGGTGTTCTATTAGAGCCAAATCAATACTTTTTTAGG